CCCCGCCTCCGGCTCCGCCCGCTGCGACGGGACGCCCCACAACTCCCCGCGGCCCCCGGACCTTTCATTTGCATACTGCGCGGCACGTCGCGGCCCGGTTCGGCCCGCGGCAGCGGTTCCGCGGCGCGGAAGGGGACAGAAGCGGTGGGCAATGGTGGGGACACTGCAGGCCAGCTGGAAGCGATGTCAGGCGGCGTGAGGCGTTGCTCGCCCTGACCTTTGGAGTTAGTGCAGAGCAATCTCCCTGCGGCGCGCTGAGCTGTACGTCATGCCTTAAACTTATGAGTAAGGAAAATAACGACCCGGGGTGACGCCCGGGTCCTCACTCCGAATGTGAGAGGAATTTTTGCGCGGGTACAGGTCGCCCCTGGGTGCCCCGCTTACTTCGCGGGATGCCCGGGTGCCGTGATCTGCCCGTCCCTCCGTGCCGCCCGTGCCAAGGACAGAAGTGCCGGCGCCGGGAGGCGGCGCGCTGCTCCGCTGAGCCGCGTGGGGGCGGGACAGCGCCGCGTACCGGAATTCCGGCCGTTCCAAAGGTCAGGAATATTTCGACGTGTTCTCTTTTGGCTCTGTTCGCTGAGTGGCCGTAAGGGTCTTCATGACGCTTAGAAATAAATCGCCAAACCTGCCTAAGAAATGCTTCATGTGTCTGCAGGAAGCAATTCCTTTTCTGTTCTTCTGAGGGAGCAATTACACCGTTTATAATCAAGCTAAGAATGAAAGGGAAATGGTGCCTTGTGCAGCTCGAGCAGCAGCATGACCTGCACGGCTGTGGCTCTGGGCCTCACTGTGGGCTGCGGTGCTGTTGGGCCTCCGTCAAAAAACCTTTTTGCAGCATATCACAGCCACAGTCTCTCCAAAATGCAGTTCTGCTTCCTCACGCAGCTCTGTGACAAGGTCCGTTTGTGACCCCTTTGCACCCCCGCTGTTCCCCTTCTGCCGTGTCCCCAGCACGGCATCCTGACCTGCAGTAACCCTGAGGCATTGCCGTGCGAGCTGCAGCACCCATCGTGCTGCTGTGGAGCTGGCGGCCCAAGCACATTCCATGTGAAATGCAAGGGAAAGCTCCTGGCGGACTTCAACAGTTTGGTAGCTGCCAGGGAGGGTGAGGAATGCAGAGGAGACTTGTGCAGCTGAGGTGGCTGCTCGCAGCCACACAGGCTCAGTCTCCCACAGCGCTGATTTCCTCTCAAGAAGCCTTTGTGAGCCTGAAGTCATACCAGCGGTGATGCCAGGTTCCTGCTTGGTTGTGCACTGGTGCTTGCTCCAGCTCCAGGGTGGCACATGTCTGAGGTGTATAAATGAAGGTACACAAAATACAGCCCTTTTTGTGCGGCCTTTCTGCAGCTGCTGAGCTTGATCAAACTGAGGCGATAGGGTGGGTAATGTGTGACATCTGTTTTGCTGTTGCAAAACCAATAGGCAACATTTGAGCAAATTAATTTGATTTTTAAGAGCAGCCCAAGTGGTTCCTGACTAGAGGGCCACCTAGCCAGTATTCTGTTTCCAACCTGCAAGGACCCCTGTGGAGATCACTTACAGACACCCCACCAACCTTAGTGCTCTTTGTGCAGCCATGGTATCTTCAGGCAGTACCTCCACTCTCTGCTTCGTGGTGAGCCACATCCTGCTGTTCATTTTGCTTCCATCAGCCTAGTTCTTGCAACTGAAGCTGGAGAGTGCATGTGTAGCTGCCATCCATCCTCTCTTCCACCTGTGATCCCTGAATTCCTCTTCAGTCCAGGCAAAGAATTCCAGGCCTACTCAGACATTCCTTCAGTGAAGCTCCCTTCCCTCTACAGGCTCCCACCTTCCCATGTTAAGTCTTTGTGGGAGGCTGATTAGGGGGCATGAGTCATGCTGTTGTGGGAAAGGAGGGGTTTAAACCTCACGATCATCCTCTTTCTGTGTTTCTGATTGTTTTGCTCTTCCTCTTAGACACAATCTGTAGCTCAATTTTCACAGGTTCTTCATGGTGCCTTCTCTGAGCTGTGGATGAGAAGACAAATATTTCTTCCAGGAAGGGCCTGGGCCTCTGCTTCCCTCTTTGTGGCTGGGAGAGGGAGAAGGGTGTAAGCAGCAGCAGAGATCTCCCTGTGTAGGGGTCTCTACAAAGGGCTCCTTGTCCCAGTGTGCTGCAAAACTTTCAGGCCTGCTCTTGCTTTTCCAGAGGCAGATTCCTTGAGCGTGTCTCCTCCATCTGCTGAGACCCCACGACAGGGAAGTCTGAAGGAGCTGGAGGAGAGGAGACCATTTCCCCGTCTCACACCAATTTCCTGTTAAAATATTTCTTAGGAAATTAGGCAAAGGGCATCTGGACATCATATTAGCCTTGGGATGGTATGTGGTACAGTATCTGCTTTAAAATATTGCCTCAACCTCAAACATCAAGAACTGGGAAAAGAAATTGTGTTGGACCATGGGCAAGATGTTGTCCTTTGCACCAGGAGATGCGAGAGTCTGGCAGTAGGGGAATTTGATGCACAGAGACACTGCACAGTGGCAGTCAGTGGATCTTTGTTGCTAATGGAGAAAGTATCTGGTTTGTAGTAAGAGGTTAAAAATCCTCTGATTATAGCAGTTTGTTCACTGTTTCAGGACTACTGCACCCTAGGTCTTTTAGTCTTCTGAAGACTTTAAAATCAGTGTTTGAAATATAAGGTCTTGCAACATGAGTATTTTAGCCTAGCAGAAATGATGCTAAGGGGAGAAAAAATAAAGGAAAGGACACACATGAGGAGATGCAGAAGTGATGAGCTTCAGAGATAAAACTGATGCACAGCATAGGACCAGCAGACCCAGGGATCTACAAAATAAACTTAGACTAAAATTTTTCTAAGCAGGTAACAAATAGAGCATGGCAGTTTGCCATATGTGTAGTATTATACCTGCATAATCACATGGCATTTGGCTTAGGGTCATGCTGAAACTTCTGCTTACATGTACTGGACAACACCTCTGTCATTTATCTTCTACAGCCTGGAAAAATGAAATATTAATGCAATGCTCATCTGAATCTGCAACATTAAAAAAGGTATGAAAAAAGAGAAAGTAGTTCTTTCTTTTTGTGAAAGTTGTAGGAAATACGGTACATATGTAACTTTTACTTCACCTGTTCTATTCCATAATGTATATTTCTAATAAAGGTCTTTTACAGTCAGTTTCTCAGAATAGTCTGGTTTTCTAAAAGCCAATTTTCTTGCACGCACCTGGATCCCAGCTCATGTTGTCTGTGACCTGCAATATGCTTAGGGAATACTAAATTCTTGAGAGAAGTAAAGCAACTTGCTTGCAGAGAGCTGCACAGAAGTCTGCTTTTCTTTCTGGAGGCCCATTGAGAAAATCACAGGGAGTTTGGGCAGCCAAGGAAACTGAAGGACTAGAAAGAAAAACTGGAGAAAAGGACTTGGCAGGCACACAGTAGAATTTAAAGTCTCTTTTTATTTGGTCATTCTCAAGTTGCTTACAGAATACCGTGTCACACAAAATCACATAAACATGCACTTGCCTCACTGCATCCGTCTTATGCCATGGAATACAACTTTTAGAGCTCTTTGGCCCAGAGCTGTGGCACATGTGTAGCTGAAGGACTGTGGGAGAGGTAAATTGTACAGATGTGGGAAAGCAGCTGAGTGGTAACAGGCAGGTGGCACTGGTGAGGAGTGGTGAGGAGACAATTGGAATAGCTTCAATTTTTAATACAGGTTTGTTAATGATGATTTATCCTAAGTGTCCCGTATGGGGGATGTCTAACTTACTAGCTCTGAAAAGTAGGCAATTCATGAGAGAAAGAAAAGCAGAGTATTGCACAGCAAAAGTTTCATCTTCTTATGTCTAAGCAAGTAATTGGCCTGACTGTCAAGTCATTCTCCCTTAATCCCAGACTACACCTTTCACAATAATTTGTTCCCCGCATTTCATTATGGGCCACAGAAGTGATGGTTTTTTCCAATACACAGCATCTTTCTTGTCCACGTGCTCTGAATATTGTATGTCCATCTTCCAGTCAGCTATAACTGGTGGGTCCTGAAGAAACAGCAAACAATAAATTTGGCAGCACTGCAGCAAGAACTGTGTTTCATTTCCACTTCCTGTGTGAATGGCAGCTTCCTGAAAATCAAATGAGAACAGCTTTCAAAGGTTTGTAATGTTATGTTGATGTGTTGTTACGCTACCTCCCTGCTCTCATTCTGTGCAGCTGCTCCACAGGAACTAAGCACTTAAGAATTTCACTTGTCAAAGCTGCCGGTACTGTTTGAATGGGACATGCAGGGGTCCCAGTGTCACTTTAAAGGTTCTTTTATTTACTAAGTCCTGACTTCTGGATTGTGCCAAGTGTCCAGCACCTTTCTCTATTTCCTCCTAGAGAGATCTGCAAGGAGTTTGGTAAGATGAAGCTCTTGGAAAAGCCCAGCAAGCTGCAAAAGGAGGAAGCTCCTCTTTGGAAGTTTCATATATCTGTGCTATAGATATGTCATATCTTCACAAAAAAAGCCCACTAGAGACTAGTCCATGTGGATAGCAGGTGTCAGGGCTCTGTGCACATCAACAGCCTCTGCATGCTTTCCTCTGCCTTCCCAGGGGTTTGGCTGCTTGTGTTCAAGGTCAGCTCAGATTAAGCACGAGCATATGACCTTGTATTCAACTCCTGCAACAGCAGCCACGCTGGCAGAAAGGGTGGTGTGAGAAGGAGTTATGAGAAGCCTCATCTTCACCCACCAGTTGACCCAGCAGCTGAGTGGTGGCTAGGTGCTTGACTGAGCTGTGGTGCTGGGATGCCTGTGCCCAGCCTTGCTGGTCCTGACCCACAGACCAGCTTCAGCTTGGTCTTGACCTGGCTGGTCACTGTGAGCTTGCCCAGTGGTCACTGGTTTGTGGCTGACCCTGACCACCACCACTGGCCCTTTGCTCTTTGCT